ACCCTGATCGAATTGGCCCTGTCAACACTGGTTCTCCACTTGTGAGGTAACTCCCTTCTCTTCATGTGTCAGTATATAATCCCTGCATCTCTAATTTTCACTCCATGGATCTGAAGAAGTGGGTTTTTTTACCCACAAAAGCTTATGCCTAAATAAATCTGTTAGTCTTTAAGTTGCCACTGGACGCCTTGTTGTCCTCTTCATACCAGCTGCCAACTAGACGTTGAGCTGTTGATCGCTACTCGTTGAGCCCGACGATCTAGACAGCTTTCTATCCACCTTACAGTTCATTCATCCTATTTAGTTTAATTAAGAGAAAGTTAACAGATGACTTAATTACACTCTATCAGTACCTATTGGAGGACAAAGAGGGCTCTTGAATCCAGCAGGCAAAAACAGAATGAGATCCAGTGACTGAAGCTAGATATATTCAGAAATATCAGGGCATTGATACCAGTGAGGTTAATTAATTCCTGAAACAATGTATCTAGGGACATGTGAGATCCTCTGGCACTTTAAGTCTATACAGGAAGAAGAAGACTGGGCGTCTTTCTTAAAAATCTGTTACAACTCAAACAGAAGTTGTGGCCTTGGCTCAAGAGAGATTCTCTCTAGCCTTGTTTTGCTGATGGCCTGACTCAATGCTCAAAACGCTCCCCTCCAGCCTTAAACTCTGTTAGTCTGAACAGGCTCCACCCACCGAGACTGCATGAGAATGGGAGAACAGGATCTCTCCTCGCCACTGAAATGAAGCCACCTCTTGGGTAGGGCCAGGCAGCTGAGAAACAGGACAGGGAAATATGGCCCAGCTGTTTAGAACAGGAAGTGGGGAAGCAGCCTGAGACCAATCATAGCTCCCGAAGAACATTACAGGTTCAGGATTAATTAACTAAGATGCAAATTGGCCACAAGAATGGGGATCCAAGACCTACTCTTGACAAAGTGACTCTCATTTCTAGTCCATGTAATTGGCTACGGGCTCAATTTGACACCATACCCAACCAGTGGGGTCTGTGATTACACAGTGCCCCATTGTGCCATAGCAGGGCAGGGGGTCATAGATTCATTGACTCCAAGGCTACAATGTACCTTTTTGAGCATCTAGTCTGATCCTAGAGCAGAGCTTTTACAGAAACATCCATTCTTGCCTTAACAATTGTCAGCAATGAAGAATCCACCACAACCTGTGGTAATTTGTGCCAGTGGTTAATTACCCTCACCATTCTAAATGTATACCTCATTTCCACTCTGAATTTGTCTAGCTTCAACTTCCAGCCATTGGATCCTGTTCTACCTTTCTCTGCTAGATGGAAGAGCCCTTTATTAAATAGGTTTCAGAGTAGCAGCCGTGTTAGTCTGTATTTGCAAAAAGAAAAGGAGTACTTGTGGCACCTTAGAGACTAACCAATTTATTTGAGCATAAGCTTTCGTGAGCTACAGCTCACTTCATCGAATGCATCTGATGAAGTGAGCTGTAGCTCATGAAAGCTCATGCTCAAATAAATTTGTTAGTCTCTAAGGTGCCACAAGTACTCCTTTTCTTTATTAAATATTTATTCCCCAGGTAGATTCTTGTAGACTGTGATCAAGTCACCTCTTACCCTTCTCTTTGTTAATAGATTGAGCTCCTTGAGCCTATCACTGTAAGGCTCTTATCCTTTAATCATTCTTGTGGCTCTTCTATGACTCTCTCCAATTTATCAACATCCTTCCTGGATTGTGGGCACCAGAACTGAATACAGAATTCCTGCAATGGCCACAGCAGTGCCAAATATACAGGTAAAATATCCTCTCTACTCCTGCTCATGATTCCTCTCTTAATACATCCCAGGATTGCATTAGCCCTTTTGACCACAGAGTCTCAGTGGGAGCTCATGCCCAGCTGATTGTCCACCTCGACCTGGAAATCTTTTTCTGAGTCACTGTTTCCCAGGATATAATCCCCCATCATGTAAACATGATCTGCATTCTTTGTTCCTAGATATAGAAATTTACATTTAAATGTATATTGTTTGCTTGCACCTAGTTTACCAAGCAATCCAGATCAGGCTGAATCAGTAACCTATGCACTTCATTATTTACCACTCCCCCAATTTGTATCGTCTGCAAATTTTAATGCCTATGATTTTATATTTTCTTCTCAGTCATTGATAAAAATGTTAAATATCATAGGTCCAAGAACCACTCCCTGCATTGTTAATTTTATACTGTTCTAAGTTTTTTAATCAAAATATTTTGCGGTACCTTACAGAAGTATAAGTCTATTTCATCCACACTATTACTTTTGTCAACCAAACTGGTAATCTCATCCAAAAAAAAAAAAAAAATCAAGTTAGTCTGACAAGATCTATTTTCCATAAACCCATGTTCATTTCCATCAATTACATTATCCTCCTTTAATTCTTTATTGTTTGACTCCCATATCAGCCACTTCATTATCTTCCCTGGGATTGACGTTAGGCTGACAGGCCTTTAATTAGCCGAGTTATCCCTTTTACTCTTTTTAAAAATTGGCACAACATTAGCTTTCTTCCTGGCTGCTGGAGCTTTCCTAGTGCTCCAAGACTTATTGAAAATCAATAATAACAGTCCAGCTCCTTACTTGGCTGTTTTAAAACCCTTGGATGCAAATGATCTGGACCTGCTGATTTTAAACTATCTACCTTTTGTGGCTTCTGTTTAACATCCTCCTGACAGATCAGTGGAATGGACAGAGTATTATCATCACCATATGGTGAGACTATACGATCTCTTTTTCCCAAATACAGAACGAAAATATTTATTGAACACTTCTGCTCTTTCTGCATTGTTATTGATATTTCTCCCATTTCCATCTAAGCATGGACCGATATCATTGTCAGGATTCTTTTGGTTCTTAATATATTTTAAAAATATATTTAAATATATATTTATTTTAAAAATGTATTTAAAAATATATTTATTCTTTTGGTTCTTAATATATTTTCTTGTTGCCATTAACTCTGCTGGCCATAGATGTCTTATTCTGCCCCTTTGCTTCCCTTATCAATTTTCTACTAACTAGAACAATCAAATGGGGATGAAGGCCTCTCCACACAGCACATACACCCCTCTCTGCGGTAGAGGCTCACAGCACAGTGGTGGGGTGCTGGGGTCAGCACTAACTCAGACAGGAAAGCATGCTCTATTGAGCTTCCCAACAGGCTCTCTGCAGCATCAACAGGGCAAAGGAAGGTGAGAGTTACCTGAGCACACAACACTGGCATCTTCTGCATAATTGAAGTTATGATCTCCCCAAGGCCTAGCCCTGCATTCGGAGATGGCAGCTTCTGACCCCGTGCAGTTAACATCATTCAGCCAGGGACAGTCAGATCCATGTCCAAACCGAGCCCCATGTGGCACTGATAACGCTGTCCCACAGCCCAGCACACAACTCAAGCATCATGTAAGTCCCAGTTGCCATCACACCCAGTTTCCCACTGCTGGTTATGAAACATCTTGACTCTCCCAGCCCAGCGACTGTGGCCATTCGCTAGCTGGAGCAGACATTTCTGAGATGCCTGAGCCTTCAAACACCCAAGGGAATAAACACTGAGAGATTCCTGTCCCTCTGATTGCTAGAGATGCTGGGGAACGTAGTGCTGAGGGGTCTGAATGGCCTCCGCACATAGTGACTGCCTGTCCCGGGCTGAATCACCACCACTGACATCCAGCTCGCATGGTGGTCCCTGAGCTGCTCTCTGCAGCACAGGAGCTCAGCACCACACTGGAGTATTGGGGTCAGCACTGACTGTGAGGGCAGAGTGCCCCTACTGAGTTCCCATCCCCCTCCCTGCATCATGGTGATTGATGTGGGTTACCTGAGCACATAACACTGGCATCTTTTCTGTGGTGAAAGTTATGATTTCCCCAAGGCTTAGCCATGCATTCACTGAGGGAAGCTTCTGATCCTGTGCAGTGAACATCATCCAGCCAGATGGGATCAGACCCTAGCCCAAATCAAGCCCTGCCTGGGGCTGATAGCGCCGTCCCACAGCCCAGCTGCCTCCACATGATGGCAGCTTCACATAACTGCGAGTTGTCGTCACACACGGTCCCCACTGCTGATTGTGAGGCACCTCAACTCTCCCAGCACAGGGATTTGGGCCATTCACCAGTTGGAATGGAGCAAAGCCTAGACTGACTGAACCTGTAAAAACCCCAAGGGTATAATGACTCAGAGAGATTCCTGTGCATCTGATCTCTAGTGATGCTCGGGAACTTAGCGCCTTCCGCTGACCGGTCTGAACAGCCTCTATACACAGCGCCTGCCTATCAAGGACTCACTCCCCAAATCTGACATGCAGCCACCGCTAGGATGAAACAGGGCAGCTGAGAGACCAGGCACAGAAACTCATGGGCTGTGTAGGAGAGGAAGTGAGGAAGAACCGTGTCTCCAGTCACAGCTTTAGGGGATGTTACAGGTCCAGGAGTAATTAGCTGAGATGGAAATCACCCCGAGTGATGAGGGGAGGAACCCCACACTTCATAAAGGGATCCCAGGTTTCTACTGCCCCTGAGCGGCTGCAGGCTCCATTCAACCCCACATCCCACAAATGGGATCTACGGTTACCCAGCGCCCCATTGTACTGTCGTGGGGCAGGGGGATCAGAGTGATCAGTGCCGGGACAGGGTCTCTCACTGAAGCATACGTACCGCTCCCTGCAGCGCAGGCCCTAAGTGCTGTGCTGGGGCACTGGGCTCAGCACTAACTGAGGGGAGAGCGCCCCCTACTGAGCCCGCACCCCGCTCCCTGCAGCGCAGGCATGTAGAACTGTGCGGGGGAAATGGGGTCAGCACTGACACCATGGGAAGAGCAACACTTACTGTGACCCCGAACCGGGTCCCTGCAGTACAGGCCCTTAGCACCATGCTGGGGCACCGGGGTCAGCGCTGACTCAGACAGGAGAGCTGGGTCTGTGCTGAAAGCTTCCCAGCCCGATCCCTGCAGCACTGACAGTGACGTGATGGATGAAGGTTACCTGAGCACTTGACACCAGCATCTTCTCCATGGTGACAGTTATTGTCTCCCCAAGGCCGAGCCCTGCAATCGGAGAGGGCAGCTTCTGTTCCTGTGCAGTGAACGTCATCCAGCCAGATATGGTCAGATCCTCGTCCAAACTGAGCTCTTCCAGGGGCTGATAACGCCGTCCCACAGCCCAGCTGCCTGCACACGACTCCGGCATCTGTTATGTCCCAGTTGTCATCACAGATGGTTCCCCACTGCTGGTTGTGAAACACCTCGACTCTCCCAGCACAGAGACTAGAACCATCAACCAGTCGGATTGGAGCCTGCTCTGGAATGGCTGAATCTGCAAATGCGCCAAGGGAATAAACACTCAGGGAGATTCCTTTGCCTCTGATCACTAGTGACATTGGGGAACGTAGCGCCTCGGATCTGATCAGTCTCTACACATACCAATTGCCTGGCAGGGGCTCATTCTGCCCTACTAATACACAGCCACCTCTGGGGTGGGAACGGGCAGCTGAGAGACAGGCCATGAAAACTCATGGGCTATATAGGAGAGGGAGTGAGGAAGAACCCTGTCTCCAGTCACACCAGTGGGAGATGTTACAGATTGAGGGGTAATTAGCTGAGATTGAAATCACTATGATGGGGGTAGGAGCCCCACACTTTATAAAGGGACCCAGGGTTTCTACTGCCCTTGAGTGCCTGGAGGCTCCATTCGACCCCAAATCCCACAAATGGGATCTATGGTTACCCAGCGCCCCATTGTGCTGTAATGGGGCAGGGGATCAGAGTGATCAGCGACGGGGAGGGTCTCTCACTGAGGCGCACGTACTGCTCCCTGCAGTGCAGGCCCTAAGTGCTGTGCTGGGACACGGGGCTCAGCACTGACTGTGAGGGAAGAGCGCCCCCTACTGAGCCCCCATCCCGCTCCCCACAACACCCACAGTGATGGATGAGAGTTACCTGAGCACACAACACTGGCATCTTCTCCGTGGTGACAGTTATGGATTCCCCAAGGCCGAGCCCTGCATTCGGAGAGGGCAGCTTCTGTCCCTGTGCAGTGAACGTTATCCAGCCAGATGGGATCAGAGCCTCGCCCAAATTGAGACCTGCCTGGGGCTGATAATGCCGTCCCACAGCCCAGCTGCCAGCACACGACTCTGGCCTCAGTTAAATCCCAGCTGTCATCACATACGGTTCCCCACTGCTGGCTGTGAAACACCTCGACTCTCCCAGCGCAGCGACTCGGGCCATTCACGAGTCGGAGCTGAGTCTGCTCTGAAATGTCTGAGTCTGCAAACACCCCAAGGGAATAAACACTCAAGTAAGTTGCTGTGCATCTGATCACTAGTGACCCTGGGGAAAGTAGCACCTCCCACTGACGGCTGTGAACCACCTCTGCAACTGCCTGTCAGGGCTTCACTCCCCACCACTGACATTCAGCCACCTTTGGAGTGGGACAGGACTGCTGAGAGACCAGGCACAGAAACTCATGGGCTATGTAGGAGAGGGAGTGAGGAAGAACCCTGTCTCCAGTCACAGCAGTGGGGGATATAACAGGTTCAAGGGTAATTAGCTGAGATGGAAACCACCTGGAGTGACAGGGGAAGGAGCCCCACTCTTCATAAAGGGATCCCAGGTTTCTACTGCCTCTGAAGCAAAAGTGGGGGAAGCAAAGTGGGGGAAGCAAAAGTGGATGGGAATCTGGGGGGCAGTGACCATGAGTTGGTTGAGTTCAGGATCCTGACACAGGGAAGAAAGGTAAGCAGCACGATACGGACCCTGGACTTCAGGAAAGCAGACTTCGACTCCCTCAGGGAACGGATGGCCAGGATCCCCTGGGGGACTAACTTGAAGGGGAAAGGAGTCCAGGAGAGCTGGCTGTATTTCAAGGAATCCCTGTTGAGGTTACAGGGACAAACCATCCCGATGAGTCGAAAGAATAGTAAATATGGCAGGCGACCAGCTTGGCTTAATGGTGAAATCTTAGCGGATCTTAAACATAAAAAAGAAGCTTACAAGAAGTGGAAGGTTGGACATATGACCAGGGAAGAGTATAAAAATATTGCTAGGGCATGTAGGAATGTTATCAGGAGGGCCAAAACGCACCTGGAGCTGCAGCTAGCCAGAGATGTCAAGAGTAACAAGAAGGGTTTCTTCAGGTATGTTGGCAACAAGAAGAAAGCCAAGGAATGTGTGGGCCCCTTACAGAATGAGGGAGGCAAACTAGTGACAGAGGATGTGGAAAAAGCTAATGTACTCAATGCTTTTTTTGCCTCTGTTTTCACTAACAAGGTCAGCTCCCAGACTGCTACGCTGGGCATCACAAAATGGGGAAGAGATGGCCAGCCCTCTGTGGAGATAGAGGTGGTTAGGGACTTTTTAGAAAAGCTGGACGTGCACAAGTCCATGGGGCCGGACGAGTTGCATCCGAGAGTGCTGAAGGAACTGGCGGCTGTGATTGCAGAGCCATTGGCCATTATCTTTGAAAACTCGTGGCGAACCGGGGAAGTCCCGGATGACTGGAAAAAGGCTAATGTAGTGCCAATCTTTAAAAAAGGGAAGAAGGAGGATCCTGGGAACTACAGGCCAGTCAGCCTCACTTCAGTCCCTGGAAAAATCATGGAGCAGGTCCTCAAAGAATCAATCCTTAAGCACTTGCATGAGAGGAAAGTGATCAGGAACAGCCAGCATGGATTCACCAAGGGAAGGTCATGCCTGACTAATCTAATCGCCTTCTATGATGAGATTACTGGTTCTGTGGATGAAGGGAAAGCAGTGGATGTATTGTTTCTTGACTTTAGCAAAGCTTTTGACACGGTCTCCCACAGTATTCTTGTCAGCAAGTTAAGGAAGTATGGGCTGGATGAATGCACTACAAGGTGGGTAGAAAGCTGGCTAGATTGTCGGGCTCAACGGGTAGTTATCAATGGCTCCATGTCTAGTTGGCAGCCGGTATCAAGTGGTGTGCCCCAAGGGTCGGTCCTGGGGCCGGTTTTGTTCAATATCTTCATAAATGATCTGGAGGATGGTGTGGATTGCACTCTCAGCAAATTTGCGGATGATACTAAACTGGGAGGAGTGGTAGATACGCTGGAGGGGAGGGATAGGATACAGAAGGACCTAGACAAATTGGAGGATTGGGCCAAAAGAAATCTGATGAGGTTCAATAAGGATAAGTGCAGGGTCCTGCACTTAGGACGGAAGAACCCAATGCACAGCTACAGACTAGGGACCGAATGGCTAGGCAGCAGTTCTGCGGAAAAGGACCTAGGGGTGACAGTGGATGAGAAGCTGGATATGAGTCAGCAGTGTGCCCTTGTTGCCAAGAAGGCCAATGGCATTTTGGGATGTATAAGTAGGGGCATAGCGAGCAGATCGAGGGACGTGATCGTTCCCCTCTATTCGACATTGGTGAGGCCTCATCTGGAGTACTGTGTCCAGTTTTGGGCCCCACACTTCAAGAAGGATGTGGATAAATTGGAGAGAGTCCAGCGAAGGGCAACAAAAATGATTAGGGGTCTGGAACATATGAGTTATGAGGAGAGGCTGAGGGAGCTGGGATTGTTTAGCCTGCAGAAGAGAAGAATGAGGGGGGATTTGATAGCTGTTTTCAACTACCTGAAAGGGGGTTCCAAAGAGGATGGCTCTAGACTGTTCTCAATGGTATCAGATGACAGAACGAGGAGTAATGGTCTCAAGTTACAGTGGGGGAGGTTTAGATTGGATATTAGGAAAAACTTTTTCACTATGAGGGTGGTGAAACACTGGAATGCGTTACCTAGGGAGGTGGTAGAATCTCCTTCCTTAGAGGTTTTTAAGGTCAGGCTTGACAAAGCCCTGGCTGGGATGATTTAACTGGGAATTGGTCCTGCTTTGAGCAGGGGGTTGGACTAGATGACCTTCTGGGGTCCCTTCCAACCCTTATATTCTATGATTCTATGATTCTATGAGCAGCTGCAGGCTCCATTCACCCCCAAATCCCACAAATGGGATCTACAGTTACCCAGCGCCCCATTGTGCTGTCATGGGCCAGGGGGATCAGAGCGATCAGTGACGAGGAGGGTCTCTCACTGAGGCACACGTACTGCTCCCTGCAGCGCAGGCCCTAAGTGCTGTGCTGCGGCACTGGGCTCAGCACTGACTGCGAGGGGAGAGCGCCCCCTACTGAGCCCCCACCCCGCTCCCTGCAGTACAGGCCCTAAGAGCTGTGCTGGGGCACTGGGGCCAGCACTGCCTGCAATGGGAGGACGTTATTCTTGAAACCGCCACCCTGCCTCCTACAGCACAACAGCCGTCAGCACCCTGGGACACTGGGGTCAGCACGAACTCCAGAGGGAAAGGCCCCCTTGTGTGGTCCCCAAACAGCTCCCTACAGCACAGTACCTTCACCCACATGGGGGCCAGCACTGACTGCGAGGGCAGAGCAGTCTCTCAGGAACCCGCACGCTTTCCCTACAGCACGGGCCCCTGGCACAGTGCTGTTACATTGGGATCTGAACTGACTGCCCCGTATTGAGCTCCTACCCCACTCCCTGCAGCATCCACCAGGATAGCGGAGGGTTACCTGAGCACACAACACCGGCATCTTCTCTGTGGTGACAGTTATTGTCTCCCCAAGGCCGAGCCCTGCATTCGGTGAGGGCAGCTTCTGTCCCTGTGCAGTGAACGTCATCCAGCCAGATGGGGTCAGAGCCTCGCCCATAGTGAGCACTGCCTGGGGCTGATAACGCCGTCCCACAGCCCAGCTGCCTGCACACGACTCTGGCATTCTGTAGGTTCCAGTCATCATCACACACAGTTCCCCACTGCTGGTTGTGAAGCACCTCGACTCTCCCAGTGCAGCGATTTGGGCCGTTCACCAGTCGGAGCGAAGTCTGCTCTGAAATGTCTGAGTCTGCAAATGCCCCAAAGGAATAAACACTCAGGTAGGTTCCTGTGCATCTTATTGCTAGTAATGCTGTGGAACTTAGGGCCTCCCACTGATAGGTCTGAACAGCCTCTAAACAGAGCACCTGCCTTTCAAGGACTCACTCCCCACCTCTGATATGCAGCCACCGCTGGGGTGGAACAAGGCTGCTGAGAGACAGAGCACAGAAACTCCTGGGCTGTGTAGGAGAGGAATTGAGGAAGAACCCAGTCTCCAGTCACAGCTGTGTGGGGCGTTACAGGTTCAGGCAAATTAGTTGAGACGGAAATCACCCGGAGTGATGGTGGTAGGAACCCTACACTTTAAAAAGGGGACCATGCGTGGCTGCAGGCGCCATTGGACACCAAATCCTGCAAATGGGATCCACGGTTACCGAGCGCCCCATTGTGCTGTAGCGGGGCAGGTGGATCAGAGCAATCAGCGACGGGGAGGGTCTCTCTCTGAGGCACACGTACTGCTCCCTGCAGCGCAGGCCCTAAGTGCTGTGCTGGGACACTGGGCTCAGCACTGACTGCGAGGGCAGAGCGCCCCCTACTGAGCCGCCATCCAGCTCCCTGGAGCGCAGGCATGTAGAACTGTGTGGGGAAAATGGGGTCAGTGCTGACAACATTGGAAGAGCGACATTTACTGTGACCCTCAACAGGCTCCCTGCAATACAGGCCCTTAGCACCATGCTGGGGCACTGGGGTCAGTGCTGACTCAGACAGGAGAGCTGGGTCTGTGCTGAAAGCTTCCCAGCCCAATCCCTGCACCACCCACAGTGAAGTGATGGAGGAGGGTTACCTGAGCACACAACACTGGCATCTTCTTCGTGGGTACAGTTACTGTCTCCCCAAGGCGTAGTCCTGCATTGGGAGAGGGCAGCTTCTGTCCCTGTGCAGCTGACATTACCCAGCCAGATATGATTAGATCCTTGCCCAAAGTGAGCCCCGGTGGGGGCTGATAACGCCGTCCCACAGCCCAGCTGCCTGCACACAACTCCAGCATCCTGTAGGTCCCAGCTGTCATTACACACGGTTCCCCACTTCTTGTTATGAAACACCTCGACTCTCCCAGCGCAGCGACTCGAACCATTCACCAATCGCAGCTGAGCCACTTCTGAGATGCCAGAGTCTGCAAACACCCAAGGGAATAAACACTCAGGGAGGTTCCTGGGCATCTGATCTCTCGTGTCGCTGGGGAATGTAGCGCCTCCTGCCAATGGATCTGACCGGTCTCTGCACACAACCACTGCCTGTCAAGGGCTCCCCACCACTGACCAGGCTAATCACTGGGGCAATGTTGAAGTTTGTCCACTCCCCTCCCAGCCAGCTCTCACCTAGTTAGGCAGACTGGACTGCAGTCTGACCTACTGCTCCCACTA